GCGGCGACCGTAATGAACCGGCTCGCTTTTCTTCCGCGCAGGAGCATGAGCGTCAGTCATCCAGTTAGTATACAGATATCTGATTTGATGATTTCTTTGCGTAAAGTTGGCTATTCTGGATGGAAGTCCCTTTTTTATTACGCGCAATCTGCCACAGCAGCTGGTCTGGCCAACAGTTTGCGAGCATTCTTGTAAATATGAATGTGTGTATACTCTGATTTAAAAATAGTGGCACTTCCACGTCACGAGCTGGAAGAAGAGGGGGACTTTGTCATCCAATCGGTACCACCAACACCAAAAATTTAAGTCGCAACGAACCTTCCGATTGAATGACAGCGTCCCCCCTCTCCGTTTAGCTCGTGACCTTGAAGTGCCACTCTTTTTAAATTAAAGTATATAAGATATTTCAATATTTATTGCAATATACTAGGAGAGTTTAATAAGTAATTCAACACGTTTTTTCTGAAAGATTTGATTCAGGATTCAAATACACCATGTTCTTCACCGATCTTTTGACTACAGACCCCTATTTTTCAACATTATCTTTATTCAGTGCAATGGTCTTATGCGACCTTACAGTGAGGGCCTGTATGCCTGCATGGTACCACTCTACGAGTACTCTGTACTCGTAGTCTAGTCTACGAGTACGAGTCTCTGTCGGTCAACGTCGTACTGTATCAATTGAATTGAACTGTCTTATTTTACGTGGCGAGACTTGGGTCATCAGGCCATGCACTTTCGCTACGCTCCTTTTACCCACTGTCAGAGAAAGGAGGTATTTCTTGGGCGAGAAAGAGGCGATTTGAATTTAGCACAGAGGCTATGTCATTTAGGCTTGAGGATCTTTTACATGCAAGTAAATCTACTAACATGGCTGTACTTCCCCTATGAAGGATTTTTTCTCCCTTATAAATCCACAGCTTTGATTGGGTTTGAACCCGTCAACTTGGGTATAACAGTCCGATACGCCATCAGTTCGTTACACCATCGCCGCCGCCATAACCTCCCCATCATCCCTTCTTCTCCTTCGCATTTCATTGGACCAAGCAGATGAAAATCCGAAGGTGAACGATCCGGGCTATAGGGTGGATGAGGAAGAACAGTCCACTCAAGTTTTGTGAGCTCCTTCTGAGCATATAGGCTTGTGTTAGGCCTTGCGTTGTCATGGAGAAGGCGAAGTTGGTTTGGATTTTTGTGCCTACGAACACGCTGAAGTCGTTTCTCCAATTTCCTAAGAGTAGCAGAATACATTTCAGAGTTAATCGTTTCACCATGAGGAAGGACATCGAACAGAATAGTTCCTTAAGAGTCCCAGAAGACGATAGCCATGACTTTAACCTGCTGAGGGTATCGCTGTATACTTTTAGGTGTAGCGCCACTCCATTGATTGCCGTTTTGTTTCGGGTTCGAAGTGATGAACCCATGGTTTCATCGCCTGTGACAATATTTGACAAAAAATTGTCACGATCAGCCTCATAACGAGCAAGAAATTCCACACAGATGGTTCTTCTTTGCTCTTTATGATCTTCAGTTAGGCATCGAGGAACCCAGCGGTAACAAACCTTATTCCAACTAGTAAACAATTGTGATGGCTCTACCAAAAACGACGACAAGTTATACAACGAGGTGTTTGATTGTAATACGTCCATCATTTCGAATTAGAATGTTTGCACGGTCCAACATTTTATGAGTCGCAACTGGGTACGGCCGGCCGACACGCGGGAGATTAGACAGATTTGCTTGACCTTGCTCTGATGAAGACTCACGCCTCGCACAACGATTCCCCGTGCTTTTGTCCACTGCCAGATCTCCGTAGATATTTTGCCAGTGCTCATGAATATCTGAGATGCCACCAGAAGCACCTCCGTTACAGACGCACAGCTACGTATAGTAGCGTCCAAAATTTATGAAACTGTAAGAGACGAAGCGGGAATATTTAAAGATGTTCCGAACAAATTTTCAATTTTTTTCAACAAAATTTGGCCAATAAAAATTTTGTTACATTATATATTGTATTCCCTAGACATACCAGGATAGTGAAGTTTTTGAAATAAAATGTTTGTGCAAAACGTGTCTAAACAATAGTGCATGTTCAACAGTAGAAAAATTAAAGCCAGAACTACGTGCACAAAAATTAAAACCAGAGTTACGTGGGGTGAATATAACCGACTACGCATTAAAATATGTAAGTAATATTTCAGTCAATGGTGAAGCTAGAGTCATGCAGTTGGGTATTCTGAAAATATATCTTACACTTTCTTGTAAATTAGATCCATTCATTTTTTGGGTGTTTTCTTTTTTTCTTCATTCAGCAAAAACATCGATAATTTGTTTTTTAAAGCTGTCGTATCTGCACAGTTTAGCGGTCACTACTCAATACTGTGTACTACAATAACTGGTTCTGATATTTTCCACGGAATTTCTCAGGAATGTCTTCACTCTATTTAATGTAATCATATTCCTTTCACATAATGCTGTAGATAAAGGGAAAGTTAGACTGAGTTGTATCAACTTAACTTTCCCTAATTTTTTTCCAGTTAAATTTGTTCAACAAATACTTCAGCAACAAATCTGCACACATGTTTTTTTGTATTATCAATGTACACATTTGTCTGTTCATTTTGAAGCTGCTCACTGTCAAAAACTGGATATTGTTTTACTAAGAGAGAAATTTTTTCTGAAGGAAAGGACGCTCTCTAGGTGGAAAACTAATTTCGTCAAGAAATTCAATAAAATGAAAGTTTTCAAAATCTTGGAACCGATATTCCATCTGAGTCAATACTGTATCAATGATTTTAAAAGAAACAATTTTCTGTCTTTCTAATAATTCTGATCCTAAAAAGTTCATTCATAGTCATGTCTGCTTTGATGTAATCTCTTAGTCTGCGCATGCTGGGAGTCTAGACCAGAGAGTATATAGGTTTGTTCCAGCAAACAATCCCGGACTGTTTTACGTACTCTCACTCTGCGCATGCGCGAGTGCGAACTAGTCAGAAACGAGTCCGGGATTAGGATCTGCTGGAACAGATAGGTACAAAAATCAGTCTCTAGGTGCCGCTGCTTTCGTCTCATCAGTAGTTACAGAATTCTCCGCCAGATATAATTTTCGTATCGCGTGTAAAAATCAAAGCGACATTACCCTGGTTAGTTCCTGGTATTCACTTGCGCTTTACGTTTCTCCATAATTGCTCGCTTATTTTCTTGACCTCGCAATCAATTA